TCTAACCATAAGTCTAAGTTTTTCCAATGTTTTCCTTTTGGGGTGAAAGGTAATGGGGGGAGGGGGAGGTGAACAAGACGGTGCTCTCCTTTGATGTTTTGTGTACAGTGCGTTGGCGTGGCCAATAATGTGCTCAATGCTTTTTTTACGATCCAATTGAAGTGCGTGGTTCATCATAATTGACCCAGCTGGCTGGGAATTGACCCAACTTCGCGTACACTATATTTCATCAATGACATTCCCTATTATAAAGTTTCTTGACATCTACCTTGACCTTTGCAGATACTTTGAAGACGAGTTAGTGTGGTGTCGACGGAAATGTGCTGGCCAGGTGGAGGCACCAGACACCAAGTTCGTTGTCACAAAAACATGCACAATCGGAACGAGCTCTCTGTCTATTACGATGTAAACGGGACCGACTCACAGGTAAGACAGTTCTACGGATGTTTAGCTGAATCGCACCGATAGTCAGAAACCCCTGGCTAGAAAATTTGTTTTGGGAGGGAGTTGTGGCTGTTATTTGGAGGTCGTTGCAAAAGAAATGCAGGATTTCGTTTTTTTGTATTTAATACTTATTTTATTCCAATAAAATGTAAGTGTTATATATCATTCGAAAGCTTATCTAATGCTCTTTCTAAATGATACTTCAAGATTGGTTGTAATTCTTTTTAGAGGCCACAATCGTAAGTGCGGTATAGTTTGACATCGTCTTGGTTTTTGAAGCCTTTCTCTCTAAGATAGTTGTCCAGATGCTTGAAAAAGTGGTGATCGGTGGGCGACAGGTCTGGTGAGTATGGTGGATGAGGCAGAGTTTCATAGCCCAATCCGTTTATTTTCTGGAGGGTAAATTGTGCAAAGTGTGGTCGGGCATTGTCGTGGAGAAGAGTCCGGAATCGTGGAGTCCCTTCATATTGACCAACCTTGGGCACATGCGTTAAGGCTTCTGATGCATTTCGTCGATTTGTTGACAGTACTTCTCTGCCGTAATTGTTTCACCAGGATTCAGGAAGCTGTGATGGATGAGACCGGCGGCAGACCACCAAACATGAAGTTCATCTTCAAGGCTGGTGTTGCCACAGCGAAACTTCTGGAACCAACGTTGGACCGTAGATTCGTTGATACTTCCTTGACCCCAAACTTCGTTGATGTTCCGAGCTGTATCGGCAGCGTTTCGTCCTAGCTTGAACTCATAGAAGAAAATAGTGCGAAATTCACGTTTCGACATCTGCAATAAAATGTCAATAAAAATTATAATAAAATGAATTACAACCAATCTTGGAGTATCATTTAGAAAGAGCATGAGATGAGCTTCCGAATAGTATATAACACTTCATATTAAAGTAACATATTATTGGAATAAAATAAGTATGAAATACAAGCAAGCAAAATCCTGCATTTCTTTTGCAACGACCTAATATTTGACAAATGAATACATTGTCTATGTCACGACCGATCAGAGTACAGTCATGATCCCTGCGAACGACAGGACGTGCGACAGGGCATGGCCTAGCCAGCGCAGATTTCCCTCCACTTGTAGAGGATCCAGGTCAGCATAACATCATTGTGGGAGCAAGGCCACCATGGCTGCTCTCCAATACGCGCCGCATCACACTCCTCATCGTTTGCAGGGATCATGACTGACCATCTTCACAACACGGTACAGCATCGTGATGTCTGAAATGGTGGTGTAGGTACTACCCCCTCCTCCCGAAGGAGGGTCTCGTGCTGATCACTTCCATTCCCCGCACCTAACCTACAAATTGCCACACATTTTCACTTTCTCACCCGGAGATTTTCCGTGGGCGGGCTGACCTTGCAAGTATCAGTGTAGTCAAACAGGCATTCGCAAAGTACAGTCTTGTTCGCTGCGGACGTTAGGGCGTTTCAAGTGGAAAAGGGGTGGGGAGGGGCGGAACTGACGTAGCGCCAGCCCGCTCACCACCAATTGTGAAAGCGGGCGGCGCACTCAACGCTGCATTCTGACACGCCCCAGCATTAGCAGTAGACAAGGCGTCACAACGATTCCATATAGAAGCGAAATGCGGCGCATATCAAAAAGATTGAACCACGTCAAAAGCTTATCATTTTCCCTCATCTTCAGGCTAGCATATCTTTTATTAATTACCTTTAGGTCCAGGAGAACACAGTAGTAAGGAGTAACCCACCTCTCTCTACACATCTACAATCCAAATCAGAACCTCTTTAACGAACCTCATATTTCAGAGGAGAGACCCCCGCTGGAGAAAATGGAACACTTTCTACGACTTTATGGAAAGAAAGCCGTATCAGTACATGCACATTTGTTACTGGAAGGTGAGTATTGTGTTTTCGTTATTCGCATCATCGATGACAACAGTCGCGCTAAATGTTGGCCGTATTGCCGGTTTCGCATAGTGAACGTTGTACGACGTTTCTATAGATGAAAAGTGAGATGTAGCTGGAATATCCGAAAGGCAGAAATTACCGTTACCAAGAATATGATCAAGGGATCGATCCCACCCCAAAGGTGTATATGGTTTCCTGGTCAAAGTTGTCGAAGAAAGCATAAAACATTGAATCGGGCTTCGATAGACCAACAGAGTGTAACGGAGGCAAGTCCGCCATGGTTCGCAAGAGTTTACTCACCCACCTTACCTTTAGCGGACCAGCAGTGAAAGATGTGAATAAAAGTTCAGGTATGTCCGCGATAATGGAAGAAAAACGACTATGTGGCTAAGGGCGCGGTGTTGTTGAGCGTCGTAAAGGGACTCAATTACTATATTACTATACTCCCGTTGGGAGTCGTGTTTGAGTGCGTCCCTTCACGGCCCTCAACCACGGCGCTCCCTAATCACATATTCGGTTTTCTTCCATCCGGAGGGGATGCGAAGAGGGGGGGGGTATATAGTGCACATGAAACAGGAAAAATCACGCAAAAAGTCAACAACCGGAAAACCAACGCGACAAATTTCTCTCAAAGGCACATACGACCCCCCTCTCTCCCAACGACCAAATACGACCCCCCTCCCCAGAGAAAAAGTACGACCCCCTATGTGTTTCACATAACGATGCTGTACCCTGATCCCCCTTCCCCGCCCCCCTTCCCCGATGGCCTGGGCCTCTGTTAGGAAATTGTAAGTAACAATGTAGGTATTGTAGATAGTTGAAGAAGATCGTACTTGAGAAGGGGTCGTGCTGAAAGACTCCTTCTCCGCTCCTTCTCAAGTACCACCAATTTTCATGTTGTCACGACATCCCGTGTGAAATCGTTTGTTTTCGCTGCAGACGCTGGGGCGTGTCAGGGGGCTGGTTATGGCGTGGCGCGAGCTCGTTCTCCAACCATTGTTGAGGCGGGTAAGCGACAACAGTTGATGAAAATGGGCTAGTGCTGCGCAAAACCCATCACGCCCCAACGTCCACAGCAAAAAGTACTATATGTGGCGTCCTCGACCCAGACATCATTAAGCTATTCACTGTTTTATCCTGTACCTTCATCGACAAACTTGGTTGAATTGCAGATGGGCCAACTGGAACACGCTGTGAAAGCCGCCTACACATTTCTGGTACAGAATCCTGCCCACAAGGACACTCTAGATGGACTAGAGTTCTACATGCAGCGACCAGGTTACAACGACAACATGCTTGTTGACCTACTTCGACGACCGTATGAGGTAAGGATGTTTCAGGATGGGTAGTTTTCCTAAAAATAGAAAAGTCCTTAGTGCTGCTAATAATAAGCTGTATTATATAAGCATTCATATAACCAGTGAATTGATTCGTCACATATCCTCCAAACATTTCTTCAATGGGCACCCTTTTCTGCGGACAGGGCCCAGCATTGGGATGGTGGCAACGATGTGTCAGAAAGACCCGCTCCTTCCCATCTTAACTATGGCAGTCTTTCAAAATTCTCTAACAAATTTAAGTACATCTCCTGAAATTTGCGCACCAGGTGAGCTCGCTACACAAATTCGGCTTAGTGGGGACAGCAAATGGCTCTCTACAGGCCACCTTGTGAACACTTGTAACTTCCTATGATCGGGGTGGCTCAGCAGCTTTGATTTGCAGCCCCAGTTTACCGAAGTCATCAACAAAAAAGTGAAACATTTTAGTCGAACATGAATAGGAAAAGACTGACCAGCAGAAGTACAAACTGCACCCCCTGAGCCGAACAGCACCCTTGTTGCCGGATTTCGCGGATTTTCAACCAACTCAGTAAAGGGAAACTAGTACTCTCTAGTGTCCAGCATTGGCATCACTTACTTATCTTTCATCAGTCATCTATAGATACGCTTTAGCGTCCCATCTGCTCGTGTAGTGATCGCCTGAGATACATTTCCGTGACATACACATCCGATAATGCACTTGATCTTGATAATAAGTCTGGTATGAGGGCATGGAATGAGCTCACCCGTTTTGACTAGTGATTGCATTATTTCTGGATTGATCACTAACCGATCACCACAGGTACAAAACACAGCTTGAAACGAGCTGGTTCCGCCTCTCCTGACATCGCCCCGACTAATTGCGGCGATATCAACTGGTCAGAGATGATTACTTGCTCTTTTCCGTTTTGGTTTCTCAAAATAATAATTGTCACTGAAGTAGTGATGGTCGTGGCTCGAAGCTGTTTGTTACAGAAGTACTTCATTTCTGGTGTGGAAGCATACAACAGTGAAGACTGGAATCAGTGCGTCAACGACCTCGAGATATCGCTTGAGAAAACCATGGAGGAAGACTCAAGGTCATATTCATTTGGGCGGTTTCGGTTCAAAAATTTTAGACCCATAAGGAACTATGGTATGGTTAAAAAAATAAGCAACTACATATCTACGCATACTATAGTCTGTGCCCTCTTGATGTTTCTTCGACGGTGCCGACTTATGAGTTTCCGTTCGTGACACCGCCTACCTTCGATGCATGCTCCGCCCACAGAGGGCGGAGGTTGGCTTGTCTTCTGTGTGCTCTGGACATCTTTTCCCCTTCCCCACCCATCCCAAGCCTGACATGAGCTCTTCAAGTCGCTCTTCAGGTTGAACCGAATTACCGGGCAGACCCACAGACAGACGGGCAGGCAAACAGCAAATAGATGTAGCATCCTTATATAGCAGGAAGTGTGCCATTAGGGTCACGAAATTGGGTTTACACCGTGGCGTCGACACCAGCGTCGCACTCCGAGACATTCTTCCACTCATAATGGTAGAAATGCTTGACTGGGACTAATCGCGCCAAAATAAATTTTGGGAGGATAAGGTACAAATAGAAGCTCAGACTTATGCCTGGAAACCAATGCAGTACGATTTTGTCTGTTTCTAGCACAGATCAAGCAGGATTCTATCAATGTATGTGATTCCAGATGTCGACTCCTTTGCGAAGACAAAATCGATTGGAGTGCGATCGTGGGAAATCCCGAGCTAGACGTACTCATGACAAGTCAGTTCAAGTGGGTGCAGGTTATTACATCCACGTTGCGGCGAGGGCGGCTGAAAGGGCGTTGCAGACGGGGTCGCGTGTGTGTAATTTGCACCGGGGCCTAGTAGGTCAAGTCAGCTAGCTAAGAAATACTTTACTAGATAGTACGCATCGCCACAACGTAGATGTAATGAAGTGCAGTGAATTTCAAGACAGTAATTTTGCCTTGGACAGCGGTTCTCAAGACCACGAGATTATTCAGGCATGCAAGCGTCTGTTCTTCGATGTCAGCACAATTGCCTTTATCGGTTGGCTCTGATCAATGGCTACAATGTAGGAGAATTGCCAGCAGCACATTACGAATACTTACACTACTGCTACTTCAAGTGTTAGCTTTAGAACGAATTTTTTTGCTTAATTATATTTGAATTCGAAAATGTAGGAAGATATACTCGAAATCCCTGAGATCGGGTAGGCGTGGCCGCATGCTTCAACTTAACCTGAAGGTGTCTATGCTTCTGGTGAGATATTTTCATCTTGACACAATTGTTGTCGTGTCTCTGTCCAACACAGAACAAGATGACAGTTGTCCCAGACTGGAATATTCCACGAGTAACCAATTCCGTGCCATGTTCAAATGCCACGCCTACTCTGGCTCAGGGATAAGGAGTGTACTACATCGTCACACTGCGGATGTTGCGGTATGTCGGCTTGTTTTGCCCGCATCAGTCGGTTTTGCAACCCCTATATCTGTTGCCACCCGATCGTCTGCACCAGAGACCCTTCTTCAACAGTGGCGCTTTTCCCTACGCAACGGCTGCGCCGTCGCCAAACCCGTCCTCGCTGGCATTCCGCAACATCAACAGACTATACCAAGTGCTCGGGGGAGGAGGAGGAGGGATGGCAACGTCGTGAGCGCAAGGCAGCGATTTCACGTGTGGCGTGCTCTCTCTGCGCCTTTCTAGAGCTGAGTCGTAAGGGCTGAAGGAGGGGGGTGAGGGGATAGTATGACTTTTTTCGGCAGAGAGGCGACAAAAGAGTAGGAGTAGTTGCGTCTCTCATCTGACGATACCTCAAATCAAGCACTACCTGATGGCTACTCTACTGAAGAACCTTCACTTGGCAAGACAAACGCCTGGTTCTGAGCTATAGGATGCCAGCACGCACACAGCTCGGAAATACCGGCAGGCGAATTTCTGGACAAGAACATTGAGCTGTTTTGTTCTCAGCGGACTCTGGGCGTTTTTAAAGGGGTCAGTTTAGGCGCGGCGTTATTCGCACCAATCGCGGAACACCCCAGCGTCCGCAGAGGACAAGGTTGTAATGATTTTGTGTGACAAATCATTGAAGGTCGAACGGCCTTAATCAGTTCCGATTGATTCACAAGTTTTGGCGCGAGGCGTCTTAGGCTTTTCTGCGCCAGGCGAGTGCGGTATGGTGAAACCGCTCCGGGGGTCAAATAAAGCACTTTTCCTCTGGAAAAACACTCGCCACACAAAGGAGGGATAAAGGCTACATTTGGACGCCACTCCAAGGTGATGGTATGAGAGGAGTTACCTGAATCGTTGCGTCTTCCTCATTCAAGCCCCCTTGCAATCTCGTAAAGAGAAGCCCAAAGTGTGAAGGGTGTAATTCTCAAAGTAGCTCTGCCCATCCCATGCAATCAGCGTGGAATCTGTCCTTTAGTCATTGTGTAGGCTACTACGATTAAAAACGGAAACCCACGGTGCATTTCAAAATGATCTCTGTTAGCCTCGGAAATTTTCAATTTATTGTATAGAATATTCCAAACCATCATTCATTGCAGTGATGAGAGGGACCGAAGCAGCTCGATCTGTAGCCAGTTACCTACTGTTCGACGATAATCCTTTGATGCGACGAAATAAGTACTACTATCTCAAGCAGTATGAAAAACCAGAGCTTTTCGTGCCTGATAAGGTAGAAATTTACTGATTTTTCGTGTATTCATTGCAGTCTTTCTGAAGATCCGCTTGCCGCAGCGCTGCCGCGCGCGTCTCACTGTGACCGTCTCAAAAATTCGCTGATGGTAGTGGCTGTGTGTGTATACAAACAGAATTACGGGCCGTCTTTTCTAGAGACCCCTCGTGCAGGTTTTGGGATTACCGTAATAGTATTTTTTATATGTCCAAGACTATCACAGCTAGCTATGGGTTGGGTGATCTAATACGGTACTGTCATCTGACTATGGCAGAACCTTAGTTCAAACGGAATCACCCATACGGTAGCTTCTCGAACCATTATGCTTGTGTTTGGGAGGGTCTCAAAAAGTCTTCCTACATTGCAACAGTCTTTATTTTGCCCCAGAAATCCTGCATGCTGAATATTTCCCTCTAGCGACTTTTGTCCAAAATCATACGTTCCAGAAAACAATCGAGATCTATAAGCAACGCACACTGGAAGCTCGTTACCTGAAGTTCATCGACGACAAATTCAAATACGTCAACAACGAGGTAAGTTAGGCCCTTCTACTAGACCTAAAACATATCCAACACCCACCAATTTTAGTTCCCAGCTGAGAGTCGAGAAGATCGAGTGAAGTTCGACATGGAGGTTTCCGTTGACGACAGTTTCAACTATGGCGCTGTCAATCAACTGTTGAGCGCTAGGGAGTGCAAAACCATCCGTTCTGCTTTCCCAGTGGCCCATTCGGAACAACTAATCTCAGAGCTGGAAGCGAGAGTGAAGCAGCTCTGGCCAACTGCCAAGTATGAGTCGCGTTCATGTAACAGTACATCACGGCAAGCCAAGTGTCCTCGACCTATTGTGCTATCCGCTGACGCCACTGACTGCTCAGAATGGCTTGGCGCTGTGCATTCCGGTTGTGCCGTTGTGTTTTGTGCCTGAATATCGCTTATTTTAATTTATTCCTATTCACTTTCCTATTGAGGAATAAATGGATAAAATATTATTGATGATTTCTCGTCTTGCGGATGTGGCGAGTCAGAAGGCTGCGCTTGGCACGGCACCACGTCATTTTCCACCAAATGTGATCGCTTGTCGGCTGTGACTATTGGTAGAGACCAGAGTTTGGCGCCGCGCCAATTGCAGCCCCTTAGCACGCCCCAGCAAACGCGACGGTACTTCTGTATCGGCACGTCTCTGCGTCCGATATCCAGCCTACACGTTTTGCCGTTGACACCTTCATATGTAGCTATACATTGCTGGGACATAGACTGCTTGGAAGCCCATTCCACGATGGTCGTACGAGCAAAGTCAGTTGAACAGTTGCACCTTGTTCATTCGGTGCACCAATAAGGTCAGTGCAATGGTTCAAGTGACTCCGAACGACCAACGTGGAATGTGCCTTTGAAGACAGGCCCAGGATTCAAAAATAGTGAGCTGTGCAGCCTTGATACTAAAAAGATGGTAAATAACACAAGAATGGAAAAGGTAGAAAAAAAACTTGTCTGAAATGCCCAGTTCAGTACCCATGCTTGTATGTGCAACTTAATTGCGCAAGGCGAAGAAAGGGCGTGGTCGGACGAGTTCTCACTTCTTGGTGCCAGCTCTTGTTCCTTATCAGCTCACTCTCACCATTCGAAACGGAGAGAACTAGTACTGGGTCAACCGCACAACCAGGTCCACTAAAAAACGAAAGTTGGGCGTCGCCGTGACCAATAGGTGGAGCCATGGCCTCGTCGAAAGTGGGTCGCAATTTCCTCACGTATTTTTGAGTTGCAAAGTGGTACATTCTCCATGCTTGCGAGCAAGACTACCATATTCAAGGAATATTAAATAAACGCGGAATGGGCCTCTAATGCAGTAGTAGTCGACGGACCAGCGTTAAACTAGGCACCGACCGCTCTTGCGATGAGTGAGACTCATCTGCCAGTTTGTCTCGGCTCTCACATTCTCTAGTGGGTGCGATCTTTTGTTTATGTGTGATCTCATGACTGTACACAACACATTCAGCCAACTTCGATTTATCGGAGTTGAGTAAACTTAGCTTTGTTTATGTAAAAAAAAACTTCTAAAAGAAGTTTCTCTCGAGTAGATTATTCTCAGCGATGATCTTATCGAAATTCACTGGCTCAGTTTTTTGCTTTCGTTTCACCGTTCGGCTTGCTTCATGAAGTAGTGAGGCAAGATAAAAGTAGTCAGGTGTGTCATCACGACCTAATGAGCGAAGATAAAACTGAAAACATTCAATCCACTCTCGCGGAGTCGAAACAGAACGGAGGAAAAATGAGAGCGATACACCTACACCAATCCGGAAAAACGCGAACGGGCAATTGTTGAGTACCATTCTGGCCGAGAAAAATGGCGATTTCATCCATTGCCTAGAATTGTTTCTCTCGAATTTTGTCAGCTCTCACGAACCACTGAACCATCGTAGTAGAGAGACGAAGTATTTGTACCGGAGTCAGGGGCGATAACCCAGATTCCTACTTTCAAATAAAGAGGTATACCCCTGCGCTCGGATCGCTAGAGGGCTTTAGACAATGTGGACCTGGGTGGACTATTGCCCTGTATGGGAAGAATGGTCTGCAATGGGTGCAACTTTCTCAAGCTGAAGAGCATGGGAGCGGAGCTGTGAGGCTGAAGATACGAGGAGTCGTCTCCATACTCGCCCGCGCTGCACCGATACTCTGTATCAATGCTGGGACCTCAAAGGTAAATCCGGGATCATTGCTATACGATGGTGGGTTTGCATATAGACGCACTGAGGTTCAGACGTAACTCGATTAGCTAAAGAGAAAAAGCAAAAAACAAATGTGTCACATGCTCTAGATGAGCGCCCATTTGCATCTCTGTGATGAAGAAAAAAGCATTTGTGAGCGAGTTTTTTTTTGGAATTTGCCCAGTGCCGACGATGGACAACTTTTCAGTTTTCATGTTTTCTCCCATGCAGCTACTCTTTTCACTGAAAGAGGCCTTAAAAAATGGCGGATATAAGCGGGGCTACTGTGGTCCTGGGCAACATATCCTCCCGACGCCATATTTATCACTTTTACCTGGTCGGGACCGCCTACATCAGCAAAGTGCTGCACCTTGCGATAGCACGGGCGGAGCATGGAGACGATACTCCGGTACCCTATCCTACAGTCCCGTTCCCGTGTCCCTCAAAATGGAGAAATGGGCCTCTCACTGCAGCGGCGTACGCATCCTCCCCACCCACGCCCGACACGAACTCCGTAGATGTGATGCGAGACAGTGCTTTAGAAATTCGATGCCTTGCGCTTTATGCACTCTTGGTGTGTAACAGGGTATAGTCTTCTGTTGGTGCCAAAAAACAGCCTTTCTGTTGCGGTTCGCAAATAAGCGGCATGTTACCAAGTTGAGCCTCAGAAGGTCCGGTTTCCAGTCGCTCGATGTATGGGCACAAATTGAACCCACAGAATTGTAAAGCAGAGGTGCAGATTTTCACAAAAATGACGTCATCATCAATGAGCTCTTCAAATCTGCGGATTACCGGCGATGAGGATTTCCACAGGTTTCCAACGGCGAAAAAAGACGGATCTAGTGGCAGCACAGTATGCCACCAAAGGCTAATGTTTCCACAAATTAGATGGGGAAATCGATCATCTCAACCTAAATCCAGCTCCCAACGATGCGCTTGCCCAAAATTTGCTCATTGATTGAAGGTACATATTCATCGCCTTTCCCCTATTTCAACTTCATCTATTCTAGTTGAGGTGTTTCCTTTTTTCGTCACAATCATTCCACCTTTGTTTGGTTTAGGCCAAGCCCATCCAGGGTACAGCATCGCTGGGAGTAACCCTCAGGAGTGGGGGTCGTATCTGGTCCAGACAGAAACTTTTCCGAGACGCGCGAGAAACTTTTTGGTTCTTGACTTTTCGCGCTTTCTCCCGTTCCATGTGTATTATATTACCACAGGAAAATGCGAGTTAGGATGGAGAAAGGGCTTGCGCAGGAGGAAGAGGAGGAAGAAACTCTGAGATTTGTACCAAAAAAAAGACGTTTTTTGTGTAGGGAGGGAGGTGGGTCGTCTGAGACAGGCATTTCTTCCATCCCGATGCTGAAACCTGCGCCTAGCACTCAATACGCCATCATAAGGCAGCGTTCAGACTTCGCGACGGCAACAGCTCGGTCGCGCGATCGACGCGATGCGCATGCTTTCGGCTGCATCGATCGCGTCGAACGTGCGACGGAAGCGTTGCTGTCGCGAAGTCTGAACGCTGCCTAAGGGATGTGGGGCATTACTTCCCATTGCATGCACTAGCAGTTTTCCTATCTAGTAGACCAGAGCTATAAAGACAGGGAGAGCTAGTAGACACGAGAGATGTTAACACAGCCTCCACCCCCCCCCCCCACTCGCACCCCCCTCCCACCACCCTGCTACATCGAGCCCCCGACCCCGTCCTGCTCACCACACTTCGCCCTCTCCACGAGCGCCTGCAAGCTCCATTTTCGCCGCACTCGCGCGAGCCCTGAAGTGCGCCCCACACTACCGTCCCATGTGCACCACTCCTCTGTATCTCCCATCGCCAGATAGTGCTACGAGAGTTGCGATCATCTCTCTACCGACCGAAACCTTACCGGATATTGGGCTCCTTATCGTAGGCGGACCATACTTGTGGTTTTTGGCTTCGGCAGTTTACCCATTCGTTGAGGCAATACAACCATCCCCATAGATCATCAACTCGGCCCTGAAATTAGACCAATAATGAGATGATGCTTTCATGAGTATTCAGGGTTAGTTTCAAGAGTCAACTAAGGACGAGTTGCGAACTACAGACTTCCTCTATGGTATTACTGCAGTTTGTGAGTACACCACAGAAGTCTGAGGTAGAATTAGCTATACGTACGCAGTCATGACAAGGGTATTGCAAATAAGACTAAGCTGAAGAGTTCCAGTGCCTAGACTTATTTATCCGTAGCTCTTGAATTCGGTTCATGGGCTTCAAGTCTAACGCCAACCGTCCCACCCATTCTGTGAGTATTTGCTAGAGACCCAGGAGGGATGTGTGTCCAAAGCGGACACTTCTGTAACGTTTGATGCCTTTCTATACCAAAAACAAAACCTCAGTAGTCTATTTTTGAGTTTGGTACGATTCGGAAAAAATAGACCTGATCTCGCCCTATCTCAGCATTAAGACTGCTCCACTCTTCCGTGCCTCTCATTCCTGCGTGAGATCGAGGTGGTCGGTGGTTGCCTTCCTCATCCAGATACGCTCGTGCCATTCCCATATCGTACATCACCACAATGTTATTCTGAGAGACGCCATTGATTGTAAAATTGCATGAAAGGGACTACGTTAGCTTGTGAAGAAGATCACAAATAACATAACATTGTAGGGCGTTAAGGTATACTCCCTATCCCTGAGATGGGGTAGGCGTGGCATTCGAACATGGCACAGAACTGGTTACTCGTGGGATATTTCAATTTGAGACAACCGCCATCTTGTTCTTTGTTGGACAGAGACGTGACCACATTTGGGTCAAAATGAAAATATCTCTCCAAAAGCATAGCCACCACGACGTTTAGTTGAAGTACGCAGCCACGCCTACCTCATCTCAGGGATTTCGAGTGTAGTTGGGAGGGGTCCACTCATTAGCGCTTCCGGGTCCCTTCCCCTAATCAGGACAGGCTCACCTTAATGAAGCCTATGTCTTGTCTGCGGAACTATCCATCGGCAACTCTGGTCGTCTGAGCAAGCCTTGGCCTTTCACGTTTTGAATACGCAGGTACGCACCCACGCCTACTACATCTCGAGGATTCGGAGTTCAGCTTCAATGTAGACAACAGAGACAGTCTACGGTCGTTGGTAATCGCCTTTTTCCACCCATTCTGATAATTTT